TGCACTATGTTGTACAGGTGAAAGAATTAAAAAATGTTTATTTCACAATAAAAAAATAAATTACTGAAAAAATTATGGTGTGTCCTCATCTGCCTTATTCACTGGATCTGGCACTGTTTGACTTCTGGCTGTTTTACAAAGTCAAATGATTTAGGATGTCGAGGCAGCCACAACAGCACAATTAAAGACACGCATGAAAGGCGACTTCCAGGACTGATTCAGAAAGTGGTCATAGACAATTAGCAGTTTAGTGGTCACAGAGGGTAAGCAGGGAGGGGGTTGGTAGACGAGGGTAAAGGGGATCAAACATATGGTGATGGAAATAAAACTGTCTCTGGATGGTGAACACACAATCTGATATATAGATGATGTATTACCAAATTGTACACCTGAAATCTACGTAATTTTGCTAGCAATTGTCACCCCAATAAACTTTAATAGAAAGAAAGAAAGAAAGAAAGAAAGAAAGAAAGAAAGAAAGAAAGAAAGAAAGAAAGAAAGAAAGAGAAAAAGAATGAAAGAAAAGAGGAAAGGCAAGAATGATGGGATGACTGTTCAAAGTGAGGGGGAGTATTTTGAGGAAGATTAATGGCAATGTGTCTTTTACTGTAATATTTTTTTTATTTAAGCATTCCCCATTTTTTTTATTATACCTCATATGAAACATCCTTCTAGCTGCAGTATGGGCAGAATAGTTCCTGGCGAACAATTTAGAGGTTGTTGCAATTGAACGAAAATTATGGTAGCTCAAATTAGTGTTTTGTAGTTAAAAGAAGACAAAGTCTAGAAATGCTTAAGTTTACAAATTAAAATCAGGTTATGGTGACACATTAGCTAAATAGAAGAGGAAGGGGGAGAGAGGAATGACAATATTGATTCTTAATGTTTTCACCTATCCTGATGGATGAGAGTAGCGTTCACTGAGACGCTTGGTGTTGGCATAAGAAGAATCTGATTTTGAAGGTAAACATTAGAGTCCAGTTTAAGCATGTTGAATTTGAGGTGCCTTTGAGACATCAAAGAGGTGATATTAGGTAAGCAATTGGTTGAGGGTCTAGAGCAGCGGTTCTCAACCTTCCTAATGCTATGACCCCTTAATACAGTTCCTCATGTTGTGGTGACCCCCAACCATAAAATTATTTTCGTTGCTACTCTATAACTGTAATTTTGCTACTGTTATGAATCATAATGTAAATACCTTTTTGTTTTCCGATGGTCTTAGGCGACCCCTGTGAAAGGGTCGTTCGACCCCCAAAGGGGTCACGACCCACAGGTTGAGAACCTCTGGTCTAGAGCCTTGAGAAGAGCAAGAAATAAAAATTTGTGACTGATAAGGTAGAGGTAAAAATTAAGCCTTGTGGAGGTAGATCATGCAAGGTGAGAGTGTGGAGTGAGAAAAGCCCCAAGATCAAGCTGTGAGAAACCCAATATTTAATGGGCCAGGAAAAGGAAGATGAACTAACAAAGGAGACATGCAACAGCCAGCGAGTTAGGAGGATCTTTGGGGTGTTCTGAAACCGTTTCCAACATGTGGGGTGATTCCCCACACCAACAAATAATTCTCAGACACTAACTGTGTCTAAGAATTCAACTCAATTCTGGCACTGTCTACCCAGAGGTAGCATCAGATTCCACAGGTAAAGGGTTCAGTCTTACAAGACTGCACACACACACACACACACACACACACACACACACACTTTTCAGATGCCAGTCGCAACCCCAGGCTGTTAACTGTGCTTCTGACCAACCTACTAGAGATTAAAGGTTCCAACATTCTCCTCCTAGGACTTTGGACTCCAGTCACAAGTCCAGGTTGTTACATACCTGTCCTTCTGACCAACTAGCTATAAATTGGTGATTCCCAGGACCTCCTCTTAGGGTTCAATTTATTTGCTAGAGCAGCTCAAAGAACTCAGAAACATTTTACTTACTAAATCACCGGTTTATTATAAAAATATATAACTCAGGAACAGCCAGATGGAAGACATGTATAGGGAAGGATGTATGTAGGAAGGAGCATGGAACTTCCATGCCCTTTCCCTACAGCCATTCTCCCAGCACCTCCTTGTGTTCACCAATCCAGAAGCTCCGTGAACCCTGTCCTCTTGGGTTTTTATAGAGGTTTCATTACATATGCACGATTGATTACATTACTGGCCATTGGGATTGATTCAACCTCCAGCTCCTCTCCCCTCCTAGGAAGTTGGGGTGTTGGGACTGAAAGTTCTGACCCTCAAATCACATGGTCGATTTTCCTGGCAACCAGCCCCCATCCTTAGGTGCTTCTAAAAGTCACCTTATTACATAACAAGAGACATTTTTATCACTCTCCACACTTGGGAAATTTTAAGGGTCTCTGATCTGTGAGCCAGGAATTGTGGACAGAGGCCACTATAGGTATAGCCTATTGCTCCTAGGCTACAAGCCTGTACAGCATGGTACTGTACTGAATACTGTAGGCAAGTGTGACAAAGTGGTAAGTATTTGTATATATGAACATCAAATATTATGTTCTGTTCATAACTGTACATGCTATAGTTTCCTACAACTAGTAGGGCAGTAGGTGTGCTTACACAGCCTCAGCACAAACACATGAGAAATGTGTTGCACTAACACACTGGCTAAGGCATTCCTAGGTGATAGGAGTTTTTCAGCAACATTATCATCTTTTGGAACCACCGTTGTATATGTGGTATATCTTTGACCAAGATGACATTTTGCAGCACAAGACTTTATGGAAATATATGCATATTTGGTCATCTGAATAACCAAATATATATATATATATTACAAATCACAATATCACAGAGAAAAACCAGGACAGTGTTTTGTCCTGGAATCCAAGAGAAAATGGGTTTGTAAACAAGGAAGGAGTTACAACAATGTCAGCACTGCTAAGATGATGGTCCAGAGCACTGAAAAAATAGCACTGGAATTGAGTGACCTGTTGCAGTGGAATTAGAAGACAGAAGTTGGATGGAGTAGTTTAATATTAGTGGAAGGAAAAGCATTGTGAACATTCATTATAAGCCTCTGGAGAACCACAGTGTGATGGGGGAGACAGAAAAATGCAGTTAACAAAACAATGGTATAAGTTTGCCATCTATAAGATGCTGTGAAGTAGAGAGGGGTCATGCATCAAACCCTCCCTGGAAGGAGGGAGAAAAAGTCAGAGAAGACTTTACGGAATCTGTACCATGCAAGGAGTGAATGACAAAAGTACATTTTGTCAGGGAAAGAAGGCAAGAAGGCTTCCTGAGCAAAGGCGATCCATATGCAGAGGCATGAGATGTGGGAGTGTATGTATTGTTTAGGGAATATATCCTGTTTAATTTGGAACACAGATTGCCTGCCAAAAAATGATAGGGGTGAGGAAGCAAGGGTCATATCGTAAAACATTTCTGGGTGCTGTAGTGAGGTATGTATACTTTATTTGTACAAATACATCTCGGTTTATCTTTAGAAATACTCTTAATGGCAGAAGACAGTAAGTGCACTCTTTCTGAATCAACATAAACTTTTCTTTCAAATCTTATTTATTTTATTTTAAAAATTCTGGTGAATTTTACATTCTAGTCCATAATATATCTGCTTTACTTTTTATGTAAAACTGTCATAGGTTATTTTTAATTAGGTAAAAATGACTCCAGGAATATGAACCTTATTGATTCAGTGACTTTAGCTAGCTCTTGCCCATCACCATGCCCCACCCCACCCGTCTTGAGAGTGTATCTGTTGGTGATGATTAGCAACCATACAACCAAAGGGAGAGTATCATCATCATATTTCCATTATGGGAAGATAATTGTGCAATGAAGAATATGTTGGAAGGTGGAGAACACTAGAGACAAGAGGGTAGTGGTCCGGTTAAGAAATAATGAAAGCCCAAACTGTAAGCAGTGGGGATACTGAGATTTAGGAAATAAATAGAATTGGTATGACTGGTGGCTTCACTAGATGTGAAAAATAGTTGAAAATGAAGGAGACAGAGTAATTCAGGTTGATTCCCCAGTGTTCGGCTTGGATGTTGAGACTGGGAATAGAGAAGAGTAGAATGGGTTTGGTAGGGTTGGGGGGGGAACCTCTCTTCAAGGGGTTTACTGAATTGAAGGCTTTGCCATGCAATGGGGAGTTCAAGGTGTTGTACATTTCAGCTGAACAAAAAGATCTGATTTTAATTGGATATGAGTCTGGAGAGAGCTTGGGTCAGAAACCATCAGCATGTAAGGAGCAGCTGAAGCTTCAACAGCAGATGAAATTGCTCAAAAGTAGAATGCAGAATGTTCGGTAAAGAGGGACAGCCAGCAAGAGATCTTGGGCAACACCAATATTTAAAAGGAAGGCAGAAGGAAGAAATTCTGATAAAATGGTAAAAGATCTATAGAGGGTGAAATAAATCCAAGGGGGAATATAAGGATGCAAATTATACAGTAGTCACTGCATGCAAAACACTGTCTGAAAGCCATCCATTGGATTTGGTGAGTCTTTGATTATTAAAGATTTTGGTGAGATTTTAGTGACCTTAGTGAGAGCAGTTGGAGTAGAGGGGGCAAAATCCAGATTCTGCTGGATTGAGAAGTGATAGTAAGCATACATAACCATGCTTTCAAGGAGCTGAGCTTTAAGGAAATAGCAGGGTCATGGGGAATATTTTTTATAAGTGGTTTGACTTTGTTTTTAAGATAAGGGTAGGTGCATATTTGTGTGCTGAGGAAGAGTCAGTATTACGGAAGAGATTGTATAGGCCTGCTGCCTTAGACATGGTATACTGTTAAAATATTGGATTGTCGGAAAAGTCATGACGCATTTTTACAATGAAAAACATAGAAAAATATGTCATGACTTTTCTGACAACCCAATATTTGTTTAATAAATAACAATGTACTATTAAATCCCCTAATCTCAATTTTACATGTGAAATGTATGTGTTTCATGGGCTACATGCTCTTTGTACGCAATCATGTTTTTATTAACTTGGAGGGGTGTAATTTTTTTAGCCTCAGAATATTCTGCTGAATAATGAATCTCCACTGGGTGACATTAAAATAGTTGATTTTGGTCTTTCAAGAATAATGAAGTTTGAGCTCTGAGCAACAGCAGTTCAATTCCTGGCCCAAGCTGAGCAGCTGCTGAGCTGCCAACAGGTGGCAGGATGGCTCAGCTTAAAAAAATAAAATAAAATAAAAACATTTAAAAAAAAATGGGCCGGCCGAGTGGTGCGTTGGTTAAGAGCTGGCTTGGGATGCCGGCTCTGAGCAGCAGGGCTCCGGTGCGGATCCCACATGAGGGCCAGGGACACTGCCCTCTACAGTTAAAATGGTGAACAACAGCTTGACCTGGAGCTGGGCTGCCATGAGTCGCTGGCAACGGCGTAAGCTGCAGTGAAGTTGCAGTGGGCTGCCATAAGCTACCGTGTGTGGCTGGCAGCCAGCATGAGTGGCCAGCAGCTGACGTGAGCTGCCAAGAGCCATTGTGAGCGGCCGTCCTGAGGCCAGCGACTGATCTGCCTCACCCGGGAAGAGAGCAATGATGATACCAACATGGGCCAGTGAAGCAACATCCTCCACAACCTAGACTGAAGAACAAAAGGACAGCAAATTGACTGTTCCCCTTCCCCCAATTCCCCAGCGCTGTTCCCCTCCCCCAATTCCCCAAGAAAATCTTTAAAAAAAAAAGAATAATGAAGGATAGTGAAGAACTTCAAGAAATTATGGGTACACCTGAATACATGGGTAAGTATTCAGAAGAGTGGGATGCATGCTTAATAATGGGGCCAACCATCTGCTATGTTGAAATTCTACCATCAGAGATTCCTTCCTTTGTATTAAATGAAAAAATGGAAAACTTTAAAGAATAAAGTACCAAATTGGCAATCCCTTTCCTGGAAGGCTTAGAGAATTTGAAGGGATTGTTTCTAAAAGGAATAGGAAAAATTTTTCTTAAAGTGTAAAATATCAGATTATCTGAAGGTGAGAGGATATTTAATAAGTACAGTAATACATTGGTTTGTGAGCATAATTTGTTCTGGAAACAAACTGCTTGCATTGCAAGACATCGCTCGTTTGCCAAGTTAAAATGCATTAGAAATGTTTGCTTGCCTCGAGGAACACTCGCAAACCAAGTTACTTGCAATTCAAGGTTTTACTGTAACAACCTTTCTAGAACTTCATGTTTGTAATAAACATTGTTAAAGTAATTGCAAGCCCTGGAAGCCCATATTGATGCAAGGTTGAGAACTTCTGACAGAAAGAAAAAGGAGCTTAAACCTTGAAGGTACTAACTAGCAAGAAAGCAGCTGAAGTGATGAACTATGTTTCTAGGTTTTGTATAAAAAGAAGTAAACTGACTTTTTTGATAGACTGGGAAAAAATGTTGCATAGAATGATTAGTGGTTGAATAAAATTAAAAAAAGATCTCTGTAGTAGAGCAAGGTAGTGAAGTAATTTAAAGGTTGTGATGAGAGATTGCAATGTTAATATTTAAAGTTTTAAAAATGAGGGGAGGCCGGATGGCCCAGTTGGTTAAAACGCATGCTCTTAACAAGTTTGCTGGCTCGACTCCCACATGGAATGGTGGGCTATTTGCCCCACAACTAAATTGAAAATGGTGACTGGATTTGGAGCTGAGCTGTGCCCTTCACAAATAAGGTTGAACGACAACAACTTGGAGCTGATGGGTCCGGAAGAAACACATTGTTCCCCAATAAAGTTAAAAAAAATTTTTGTTCAGAAATGAAACAGCTCTTCATAATTACAAGATGTTAGACATAGCTCTGGGAGAATAGCTCTTTAGACCTGGAGGTCAAGAAGCATGGATGCCAGGCCACATGGGTCATGTGAAAGTTGCTCGAGGTGATGGCAGGCTGGTGAGGAGGATGGTATCTGTCAGTAGAAGACAGCAGCATGACAAGGGGTAGAAAAGGCTGTGGTTGGGGCCTGAATGGGAGAAGAGTATTTTCTTGACAATAGAGGTGTGAAAGGGACAAATATGCAATCACCATTCTAAGAGGCCTGAGGCCTAGGGGACCTAGGTCTCCTTTCAGAGAAGACAATGAAAGGACTAGTCCTTGAAGTAGCTGAGGATGGTGGGAACTCACTTATGAGGGAAAAGGGATTCCAGAAGACACAGAAAGCCAGGAGGACAGATAGGGTTGAAGAAAACAAAGCTGTTTGGCAATGATAGTACAAAAAATAGTCCGAAGTTTTAAAATAAATTTTAAAGTCCTATGATTTGAAATAGACCCTTAATTAGTGAAGTAATAAAAGATGTAACAAGCAGAAAAACAATCTTCAAAAATATTTTTTCTTGGGCAGGCCAAGTGGCGTGATGGTTAGGAACTGGCTTGGGATGCCAGAGGGCCCTGGTTCGGATCCCACAAATGAGGGCCAGTGACACTGCCCTCCACAGCTAAGATGCTGAACAACAGCTCGACCTGGAGCTGGGCTGCCCGTGAGTTGCCGGCGACAACAGGGTAGTCTGCAGCCCCTGTTGCAGTGGGTTGCCATGGGCTACCGTATGTAGCCAGCAGCCAGCGGGAGCGGCCAGCAGCTGCAGTGAGCAGCCGTCCAGAAGCCAGCGACTGATCTGCCTCACCCAGGAAGAGCGCAATGATGGTGCCAACTTGGGCCAGTGAAGCAACGTCCTCCACAACTAGACTGAAGAACAAAACTACAGCAACTTGTCTGTTCCCCTTCCCTGATTCCCCAACGCTGTTCCCATCCCCCCAATTACCCAATAAAAATCTTAAAAAAAAAGTAACCTCTTTAAAAAGAATTTTTTTTTCTTATGGGCTAGAATACTTAACTTTCAGTATAGTAACTGATATACATCGTGGCCATTAAATAAGTTTTAGGAATCTGGCTTCACAGTGCTTCTTCAGGTAAGCAATAGCCCAGATATTGTGGCATTATACACTAGAAGAAATAAAGAAGACTGCAGAATAAAAGGCCAAGAGCTGAGATATAAAGAGTAATTATTGCCCCAAATGTTTTTTGTTTTTTAATGCTTTCTGTTCTTCGGTAAATTCTAAATTTTCTACCAAGTGCTTTTTTTTTCCTTTTCAAAAAACACAACTATCTCCTTTATTTAAAAAGGAATACAATAAATCCAAAAAACCTAAAAATCATTAAGATGTTTATAATATAGAGAATCATTATTTCGCTTTATTTCTCTGGTCTGCCTTTTAAAGCTGAGTTGAAACACACCACCCCCCCCATCCCCAGCCCTCAGCATTACATACACAAAACCAGCTATCTAAGGGCATTCTGCTCCATACTGGCTAGCTATGGGACCTTGGTTCTGAAATTGCTTTATCCCTCACATTTTTCTGTCAATAAAACCAGCTGTAATAGTATGACCTCAGTAGATTTGCTATATCAAGCTCTTATTTCAGTGTTTAGCACATAACAAACACTGAATAAAGTAAACGATTGTTACTTCCTACCCCCTTCCTCCCACCATCTTTTGCTGTATGGTCTTTATTTTACTTTTTTCCCCTCCAGTAATTTGGATGCTAAGAATTTCGTTTAAAATTTCCTAGTAATTCCTTTTGAAACTTTTAAATAATATTCATAACCAGTGTTTCTCAACTCTAGGATTTCAGGTATCAAAGTTCAGGAAATTAGCATACCTAACATTTCCTCCTAATGCCTTCTTTCTCCCTCATATTCATGTTGGGAAGAAGGGTCTTTTTCTCACCAGTAATCAATATTCGACTTTGAGTGTTTTGTTTTTTCCTAGAATTACAACATTTTCATTCCCTTTTTTTTTTGTTTTTTGTAATTATCAGGTTTTTGTTTTATGTTTTTAGTTTTTGATCTGTTTTTACATGGATTCAGCACTTATTGTGTGTCTTTTCATAGCCTAGCCTTCTTATTTGTATACTTTTGTATCAGAGCCAGCCGATAAGATTGAACAGTCCTGAGGGGGGGCGCTAGGCTGAACAAAGAGACAGAAGAGAGAGAATTACCGGGAGGACTCCAGTGCTTAATACTGAAGCCCCGAGTTTATTTTTCACAGCATATTTAAGGGAGGCACTACGTGCGTACAAAGCATTAGATCATACAGTTAACAATATCATCCTCTGTCCCTGTTAGATAAGCCAAAACTCCTGTTAGCTTTCTCAAGGCTGTAACTGTGCCTGGTTCCTTGTTCTCAAGAACTTGCTGTTCTTACCAGACCATCAGGATCTGCACAAGCATTTGCTTAGGCTGCAGAAAGTGTCTAGTAGCAAGCAGATCTCAAGGCTGCAGCGAGCAGCAAGCAGTTCTCAGCAGCTCTCATGGCTCCCAACACTTTTGAATAAAAATCATCTTTTGGTTGACTGGATTGTATCAATAAATATATTTTTCTTTTCAAGGAGGATTTCAAGACAAAAAGAGAATCCTAAAAGCACCAAGAGAAAGATGACTAGCACAAAAAAACTCCCATAGCTGACTTCTCAACAGAAACTTTGCAGCCAGAAGGGAGTGGCAGGAAATATTAAAAGTGATTTTAAAAAGGGGGAGGGGGCCTACAACCAAGACTATTCTACCCAGCAAAGCTATTATTTAAAATTGAAAGAAAAAAAGAGCTTCCCAGATGAGAAAAGGCTAAAGAAATTCATTACCACTAAGCCAGTACTATAGGGAATATTAAAAAGACTTCTTTAAACACAAGAAAGGAGAAAACAAATGAAGACCAGAAATACAAATAACAAAATGGCAACAACTATGTAACTATCAATATTTGTTTTAAATGTAAATGCTCAAACCAAAAGACATGAGTGGATAAGAAAACAAGACCCATGTATATGTGCTTTACAAGAGACCCACCTCAGATCCAAAGACACATACAGACTGAAAGTAAAGGGATGAAAAAAAGATATTTCACACAAATGGAAATGAGAAAAAACCTGAGGTGGCAATACTTATATTGGATAAAATAGACTTTGAAATGAAGACTATAATAAAAGACAAAGAACATTACATAATAATAAAGGGATCAATCCAACAAGGGAACATAACCCTAGTAAACATCTATGCACTGAACATAGAAGCTCCTAAATATATAAAACAAATATTGACAAACATAAAGAATGAGATCAACAATAACACAGTCATAGTAAGAGAATTTAACACCCCACTGACACCAGTGGACAGATCTTCCAGACAGAAAATCAACATGGAAACAGCGGTCTTAAAAGACACACTAGACCAGATTGATTTAATTGATACTTTTAGAGCATTTCACCCCAAAGCAGCAGGATATACATTTTTTTCAAGTGCACATGGGATATTTTCCAAGATAGACCATATGTTAGACCACAAAACAAGTCTCAATAAATTTAAGAAGATTGAAATCATATCAAGCATCTTATCTAATCACAGTGCTATCAAACTAGAAATTAACTACAAGAAAAAAGCTGAAAAGCACGCAAACACATGGGCTCTTAATAATATGTTACTAAATAGTGAGTGGGTCAACAATGACATCAAGGAAGAAATCAAAAGATACCTTGAGACAAACGAAAATGAAAACGCAATGATCCCAAGTCTATGTAAAGCAGTCCTAAGAGTGAAATTCATGCCAATGCAGGCCTACCTAAAAAAACAAGAAATATCTGAAATGAACAGCCTATCTTTACACCTAGAGGAACTGGGAAAAAAACCACTAAAATAAGCCAAAAATGAGTACAAGGAAGGAACTACTAAAGTTCAGAGCAGAAATAAATGAAATAGAGACCAAAAATAAAACCCAAAAGATCAATGAAACCAAGAGCTGGTTTTTTGAAAAGATAAACAAAATTGACAAACCTTTAACCAGACTCATCAAGAAAAAAAGAGAGAGAGCCCAAATAAATAAAATCAGAAATGAAAG